TAAGGGAGATTAAAAGAAATAGCCAATCCTCCAGATCAAAAAACTGGGGAGGAATGGGAGGACAACAATTGGGGGTGGTAGGCTAAGAGTATAGGGAAAAGGATGTTGGGACAAGGAAAGCTTTCTTGAGGTTCTGGCAGCAAAAGCTGGCGGGCCGGTATTGATACGGTATTCATTGCGTATGTAATCATCCGGACCAGTGAGCATCGGGTCAAATCGGCTATCTAATTCCATATTGCCGGCAAGTGGTGCTTGATAATAAGACTTCACGGACATCTGTGGACAAGCGATATAGTATGCTGTATAATAGCGCAGACGTCTACGAATTAAAAAAAATACTGTCAATGGCCACATCTATAAAGTAGATGGGGAACAATGGTGGTGTATGAGGTCGACATCAAGATGGGTAATGCCGTATACCGGAACGGACTATTCCACACTTGTCAGCGGTAAAGGTGGATAAGATCTCTTCAAGGCTGCGGAAAATCATCACCACCAACACGATACCCCAGACTCAGGAGGTCGAAAGCATCGGCCGTCGCCGATGATGAACTACTTTAGGGGAAACAGGCTGGCTCAATATTATGCTTCCAAATGGTTGTCTGCCGTCAGGTCCTCAGAAGAGGCGTGTCACCCTCGATATTACGTTGGTTTCCGCGGGTAACGAAAAGTAATGGCTACCGTCGGCGTTCAGCGGCAGCGTGCATGATATACGGTGCTTTGCTGAGCTTGTCGAAGAATGTAGTTATCCAGACTCAATATCTGTCCGCAGATATGATTTCGGGCCCTTCAAGAGGCAAGTCCAGTTTCTAAGCGCCAGCCTTCGCAGATGGAGAGTATATCCTTCGGGGCCTAGTAACCAGAAGTMCTCACCTCCAGTGATGAAGCAGGACAATTATAACATCTTGAACCAGAGATTTGATGAGACGGATGAATCTTTCGAGCTGGCTGCCGTCACAATATATCCCAGCTTCAGGTCCTACTCAGCGCAAGTCCAGGTTGGCGTGTGACCGCAGAGGTCGACGCGTCATTTGAAATTGTTAGGAGCATTATCGGATCAGAGCTTCAGAGTTCTGACTGACTGCGCAGCTGTAACAACTGGACACAAGAAAAAGTGATTAGCATCCGAAAGACATCAGTCACCACTGGGCTACAGTCATCTTGAACTGCTCCAAGTTTGGTAGGATCGATCCATTTATGAAGTCATGGAGATCTGTAGTTCGTAGGTAAATCGATCCTCGTACAGCATTTTTCTAGACTTGATGCTAAAGTAGTCGGGTTGTGCTTCATTCATACCTGTTTTGTCTGTTGTCTCTGTACGGAGGATTGTTGCCTCAAGCTCCAATGGCATGTGCGTCTGGCCCAAGACTCGAAAGTCTCCTATCTTCATGATTATGTTTCTATGGATCTGGCCGACTTGAAAGAGAAAACCTCATCAAAAGATTGCTTCCATTCTCTTTTATGTCCTTGGCATCGTCATTGTCCCAATCAGTAGCATTAGGTCCTCTCAAGCATCCCAAACAGGTATTTCCCAGGCTCAAAGTCGGGCGACGTCCGACTCTCCACCCAACGACCCCAGAATTCTCCCCTTTGCGCTCCCCGCAACGCCGACTCCATCCCCACTCGCCAACACCATTGGACCGAGCGTGTCTTTGGCCCCAGATGAAGTGAATCATCAATCTTTCCAAGGAAATGATGGCCAAAGAACCCTCGTGTGAGCTCGTATACCTCTGTACATGCTACAACTGCCGAACGGCTCCCATTAACCGAGTGTGCTTCAGGAATCTTCATCAGGGTATTACTTCTATGAATGTGCTGATTCCATCGAGGCTCTCAGCCTTTTGTCGAATGAATTCTGGCGCCATCATATTAATGAGCGCGGATCGGCCTTGGCTCCAAGTTTCTGAAATCTACATCAGACTCCTCCCCGAACGCCTCCCGATGCAGTGACCGGATGCGACTATTGTCTGGCGCGTCTGGCCGCTGCCACTTGCCCGGATTACCGATTTTGGTCAACCATCCTTGGCCGGTCTATCTCCAAATCACATCAACCAGGTTCCCATTCCGACGAGTCATAGTGTGTTTTCCTTCTCGGAGTGGGGAATACGATTCCTATGGCCATCTTTTCCTCCTCGACCCCAGGAACCAGACTTCTCCCACTCGGGATGTAACCAAATTAGTTGTCCTATAGAGAGCTATACTCCAATTCTTTGGTCGGACCTCAGCCGATCCTCATCAGGATGATCGTCCTCCGGCGTCTCTTGCAGACCTGCACATTTAAATGCTGTGTACCACCCCACAGAAAAGAGGATCTCTCGGATAACTGTGATCTCGCGTCGTCCACTCTCCACCGCGAGTTCATGCTGGAGTGCTCCTCGGCCCTCAGGCTTTCTTAAGCGCTTAAATCGTGATCAGTAACACCTATTGTGACTACTGCTCTTGGGCGTCCGTCACTCCACTTGCAATTCTCCCGAGTGCCTAAATTACCCTACTGTCAAAATGAGTGACCAAATACCGTCATGGAATATTGTACACAAGCTGGAGAAAAAGAAGCTCCTGATTGCGATCAATTGTGTTGCTGCATTGTCAATCCTCTTCTTCGGTTAGTCTGCCGTGTAGCATCATTAACGCCTATACTGATCAGATATTCAGGCTATGACCAAGGAATGATGGGCGGAGTAAACAACGCCAAGGACTACATTGATCTGATGGGCTTTGGTTACACCGAGATGAAAGATGGCCAGCCTACTCCAGTTGTCACAAATAGCTTGTTACAGGGAGGAATTGTCTCCGTCTACTACCTCGGAACGCTCTGCGGATGCCTTCTTGGTGGATGGATTGGAGACTCTATCGGTAGAATCAAAACTATTGCTTCGGGCGCTGTGTGGGCCATACTTGGCGCCGCGTTGCAATGTTCAGCACAGAATCACAACTGGATGATTTGCGGTAAGGCGTCATGCTCAAAATCGATAGATCACTTTGCAGTGGCTGATCAAACACAGCCCGCTTCATCAACGGGATTGGCACCGGTATTCTGAACGCAATCGTGCCGGTCTGGGCTACAGAGACTGCCGAACACACTTCTCGCGGACAGTTCATTGCCATCGAGTTTACACTCAACATTTTCGGTGTCGTTTTGGCTTATTGGCTGGAATTGTGGGTGATACTCCTCTCCGACTTAGTCTGAAGGAGTCATTTCTAATAAGTAATAGTGGTCTATCTTTCATCGATGGCGGAAAGTCTCCCTTCCGTTGGAGATTCCCAATCGCCTTTCAGATTATCTTCCTGCTCGTGCTATTCGCAGCTGTCTGGTTCTTCCCAGAGTCCCCAAGATGGCTAGTCAAGGTTGGGCGGGAGCAGGAAGCGCGCTATATCCTCGGTCGTCTCCGTGGCAGCAGTGACGATGACGCAGTCCGAGCCGAAGCCGAGTTCCGTGACATCCAAAGCGTGGCAGAGCTCGAGAAGACGATAAACCATAGCAATTCCTACCTTTCCATGCTTTTCGGTTACAAGAGCGGGAAGTTGCATCTGGGACGCCGTGTGCAACTGGTAATCTGGCTGCAGATCATGCAGGAATGGGTCGGCATCGCCGGTGTCACAGTCTGTATGTCGTTTCCAGCGTCAAACGCTTGTATATGATTTCAGCCTGACTGATGTGTCCAGATGCGCCGACTATTTTCAGCATTGCCGGATTCGATTCGGTGAAAAGCCAATGGATCAGCGGTCTGAACAACATTTTCTACATGGTCCGTCCCCATCATCCCAGAACTGTCAAACTTTTTGCCTAACTACGGTTCTACAGTTCGCGACACTTATCTGTGTCTTCACTCTCGACCGTATTGGCCGTAGGTGGACCCTCTACTGGGGCTCCGTCGCCCAAGGAATCGCCATGTTTCTTGCTGGAGGCTTCTCCAGGCTCGCAATCAATGCTAGGGAGGCCGGAGATGTAAGCAAAGCGAGCTCATACGGTGCGGCCGCCGCATCGATGATATTCATCTTCACCTCGGTCTTCGGCGCCACATGGCTTACTGGTACTTTCAATCTCCAGTCTCCACTCACCCAGGACTTCCACTAACATCTCACCAGTTCCCTGGATCTACCCCGCAGAAATCTTCCCCCTAGCCGTCCGCGCCCGAGGAAACGCCTGGGGTGTGGTAGGATGGAGTATCGGAAACGGCTGGCTGGTCAGTATCCCCAACCCCTCCACTAGCGAATATCAAACTGAGACGTTCGTAGACCCTCCTTTGCCCGGTGATGTTCAGCTCCATCGGCGAAAAGACCCTGTACATCTTCGCCATCAGCAACGTCATCACGATCCCCATGGTCTGGGCTCTCTACCCGGAAAGTAACCAGCGGACGCTGGAGGACATGGACCTGCTTTTCGCGGCTGAGACGCCCTGGGTGTGGGATGCCGAGCGGACCTTTGCGCGCCTCAAGGCCGAGAACCCTGGCTATATTGAGACGGCCGGTCGGAAGAACAGTCTCCTGGATGCTGAGGTTGGTGCCGGTAAGCCTGCTGCTCAAAATACGCAGCATGAGGAAAATGTCTCGTCTGAGTAGCGACCCTCTGGAATGAAGACCTTGGGCCGGATAATGCATGATGGGTACCACGGTCTGAAAGATACGAAATGCTGGCTTATGAGTCCTAGATAATGGGCCATAACTCCTCTCAAGAACTTATCGCTTTTATACCCCATGGACGAATAAATGAGAAATAACGCAAGAAATCAAATGTGATTCAGAAGACCAAGACCAGGAAAAACCAGACTCGAGATAAGAACTAGTCTACCTCCTATAAGCACATCCCATCGTCCCCCTACCCACGCACATCAACCCACCCGGCAACGGAGGCCCATACGGCCGCCGACATAGACACACCCGTGTTAAACCTCGACAACCCCTAAACCCGCCACTGTGAGCACGAGTTTCAGTCCCATACGTATGGCTGCAGGCGCAGGATTGACTAGTCTCTCTTGCTCCGTCATAATGCGTAGAGTGAGTTAATTGCTGGTGATGGTGGTGATGATGGTGCCTGTGCTGCTGGACGTGGCCGTGACTGTTACAGGAATGACGGGGCGGATAGCCCTCAACGCAGGGTGATTGAGCTGTGCAGTTGCAATGGCTTGTGCTGGAGGTTTGTTGGTGATAGTGGTGGTGGTGATGAGCTTGGCTGTTCAGCTCGTGCATTCCCTCGGCTAGAGGATGGGCATGGTTCAGACTGTAGCCCAGTGTTCTTATTAGTAATTGTATGTTGACTGGCAAGGGCACTATCAAGGCCAAGTGTAATGCTGGAAGGTATGTACACACATGTGCTGGCAGCCATGTCTACCCGTTGAAGCAGCATGGCAACAAGCTCCAAGGCCTCGGTGCATATGGGAGCTAAATGTCGAAGATTCCGTGTCGCTGTCGTCGGTGGTGAACTCTGTCTCGAAGCCTCGACGGTTTGCGAGGCAATCTTGCCCGTCGATACTTGTGTTATACGGATATGGATTGCAATTGTCGCCGGCTGGGTGAGTGCCGTGCTCGACGGTGTGTCGATGCACATGCTTAGACCAACTGGATGAACGGATAGCCATTACAGAGAATCAAACGAGCGATTATGGATGGATGAAAAGCCACCTGGGTGGGACGATGGGTTTGTAAACACTCGCTGTTGGCATTCAGTGCTGGGATCTACAATAATTTAAGTGCTTGGTCACTATTTAGGCAGATAGAAGTCAACTCCAGAGGGAAATGTAACCCTTCACGCGATCGTGATAGCAACTGTGCCCGACAGGACTCGTCATACAAGGTACGGGCTGCTGTGCAACATCAGATGTAGTTCGCCAGCCTAGCTTCCATCTCGAACACGGTAGAAGAAGCCTTCTTCGAAAGCGAAGTCGCACTACGTGAGGCTCTTCCTGTCTCTATTCAGAAGCAGGTACTTACTGAGCGAATCCGATGCCAATTCGGAAATGTTGTGCTACCCACTTGATTTTCTGGGGTTTGTCAAGGTGTCACAAAGAAGTATATAGTAGTACAGCCGGACGGCGTGCTCTATGATCATACAAATAAGCCAAATACAGTAGGTTAGGTTACTAGGTTTAGCTGCCGCAAATCGTCTAGATCACTCTTTTAATCAATGTTGAGAATATGACCAGACGACGTCGGGAGATTTTTGCTGTAGCTCATCGAAGGAGCAAAGGGTTGGATCCACTCTTTCAGAACTGTTCGAAAGGTGTCACAGACAGCATCCACAGCCTGCTCATGAGAGGCACCGCAGCTTTCAATATAGACTAAGAGAGTCAATTAGCAATGCTTGGCACGTATGTTCCAGTTGTGAAAATTACCCTTGACTTTTGGTTCTGTTCCAGAGCCACGGATGGTGAACCGAACATCTCGGTCCAGCCATAGGGTCAACATCTGACTACTTTTATCAATTGGCAGTGCTGGCTTGTGATCCTCCGTGCCTGAATCATAGCCCTCTGTCATGTCTCTCCACCTCAAGATCTTAAATGAGCCAAGTGATTTCTGTGTCTGGTAAGGCCCGCTCCTGATGGCTCCAAAAAGACTTCTTGTGACTTCTGGACTAGGCGATCGGAAGTAGTTATTGAGTGTTTCAAAGTACCCAAAATCCTTAAACAGCTGCTGTAGCTTCGAATAAGGGGTAAGACCCTGAGATCTCCATCGAGCTTCCGCTGCTAGAAAAACCATGGCAGCAGTCACGCCGTCCTTATCATGGCACACGTCGGGGAACATATACCCCAAGGCTTCCTCGAAAGCAAAAGGTACATGGTACCCTGACTCTTCCAGTCTCCGGGCAATATTTCCCATCCACTTAAATCCAGTCAATGTTTCCTCAAAGTGGAAGCCCTTTGACCTTGCCATCTTCTCGAGCATGCCTGTAGAGACCGCGGAGTTCAACACAGCTATGCGTGATTTGTTGTTTCGACATTCTAGAGAATCAAACAGATGTGATGCCAGTAGAACGCCAAGGTGGTTCCCCGTGAAGGTGAACCAAGAGCCGCTACTCGACGGTTAGTGACTATTTCCAGGAATAAAGAAACGCCCTTCGCATGCCGACTTACTCAACTTTCTCGGCAGCAGCAAATCGATCTGCATCCGGGTCATTAGCAATGATGAGGGTTTTGCCCTGTTTATCGGCTGTTTGCATGGCCAAGTCTAGAGATCCATTCTCCTCTGGGTTTGGGAATGACACCGTTGGGAAATCAGGGTTCGGTTCCACTTGCTCTGTTACCGCGGCGAAATCGGTTATTCCAACCGACCGGCATAAGTCGGGAAAGATCAGGCCCCCGACCCCATGCAAAGGAGTATACATGAATGGTCGCGGGCTTGACCAGCTAGAGACGGTGGATTTCTAGGAGCACTATTAGTCAATTGACCCGAATGAGGGTGGCATGATTCTCACGGCATAATTCCAAACGGCCTCGGTATATCGAGGCAGAATCGTCTGAAGAGCTTCGGCATGGAGATACTCCGTGGCTTCTAGGCTGTTCCAAGCATTCGGCCACGGTTCTAGGTTGCTGTCAATCGATTGCGCTATCTCAATATCCACGGGCGTGTTGATCTGAGCGCCGTTCTTGAAATAACTAGTCCAATAGTCAGCGTCGTCCAATTAAAATGAAGCGTGAGCCGAACACTTTGTAACCTGTACGCAATCAGCAATCAGAACCTAGATCTAGGGAGTGCAATGCATACCGTTGTCTTGTGCTGGGTTCTGTCGAGAAAATCATCTGTGTCAGACCTCTTTTGCTCTCGTCACTGCGCGAATAGAGAGGAAACATACATGGCTTGCGGTGATCATGACACCAGCTGCAGCTCGCAAATGCGTCACACCAAATGGGACTGATGGTGTCAAAGAGGACTCCGAATAATACCAGACTGGTATCTTCATTGCGATGAAGGCATTCGCTGCCAGGGCAGCAAATTTGGCAGAGTTATGCCGAGCATCATGGCCAATGATCACACCGTTCGACGCAACGTCAGAGTGTTTGTCTCTGATGTATTTGGCCAAGCCTTGCGATGCCTGAATGACGGTCAGAGAGTTCATGCAGGAGAACCCTGCCGCCATCCGACCCCGAAGGCCGGCAGTCCCGAATTGAATGCCTGCACTTGTGTGGTTAGAAATGCGGAGGGTGCAAGAGACGAAGGAGCTTGTATTGTAGAATATACGTACGATGCCGAAGACGCAGCTCAAGCTCCGCAGTCGCTCCAGCCTTCTGTAGCTGCTCAATTTCAGCCCGCGTCTCGGGATTCTGCCTTTGAGATCAGCAAAATACCACMGTATCATTGGAGCTACTTTCGAGCACGGAATCATCTTACTCGGTCCCAGTCAAGCCATTTCTGAGCCAGTAAAGAAAGAGGTTCCTACAGAACACAGTACCAGTTCAATCAGATATATATATTTCAGCTACCTGTGAAGATTCCACTTAATTACCTCAATTGTAGACGCAGGGACGGACATGGTGGATCGTACGATGATAGATGGGCGGCGTAGACGGACGGATCAGATGAATAGACAAGATAGTGTGATAGGCCGATGACTGATTGTGGCTTTGAAACGGAATGGAATGGATGGGATGGGATGATGATCGCCAGTGCGATGGAGCACGTTTCATGTGCTTCTGTCGGCTTGTCCCCGCTTTGTTCCTGTTTGAGCCATCCACAGTCACCGCTTCCGCCCCGTAGCGACGCAGGCCGTCTCCGAGGTCTCCAGACTTGGACCTTCTTTTAGGGATCATCCTTGTTGGTTTTCCCCTGCCTTTACAATTCCCAGACAGGACGATGTTGGAGACTATCCAGATTCATTTCCGTTCCTGAGCTCATATCGATCCAGCCTAAGACAACCTCGGCATGGCCCAGACACAGGAAGCGGCCCTTAAGCCCGCCTTCAGGACGCGAAAGGACACAATCTTGTCACGGCGGTACATTGAGGGTCAAATCGCTGATGGCAAACATATCATCATTTTCGACGATCGAGTGCTCAAGGTCGATGCGTGGATCAAATTTCACCCTGGAGGAGACAAGTCCATTAAACACATGGTTGGACGGGATGCGACGGACGAAATCAATGCGTACGGTCTCCTGATGGATCCAAGATGATTGTAACCTGACGACTGACATTCGATTTTGTATAGATTACATTCACCAGAGGCACGCCAGCGAATGTTGTCTTTCCAGATCGGTCGCATCCAAGGACCGTGGTTGAACTTTCTCCCTCCGATCCAGGGCGGGAAGTTCCGTCCATACCCAGGCGAGGCTTGTTCAAGCGACGAGGACAGCACAGATCAGGATATCTCACAGCCCCCTTCTCCAGTGTTTGATGCAGCAGACGCAGGAGACAAAGCACCAGGAGTCCGCCGCCGAAGGAAATCGACAACGACTTCGGATACATCAGTCTCAACCACTCCCACTGAAGGATTCGAGCCGAAACCCTTCTTCCTTGATGCCCGAACTCAGGAGGAGATCGTCTTTGATGTCGCCAAGTACCCGTCCCTCGACACGGCGAGTCAGGAAGAAATCAAGCGGAAATACCGCGAACTGAATGAGCGGATCCGCGCGGAAGGGCTTTACGATTGCAACTATTTCTCGTACTTTATAGAATGCTGTCGCTATACTCTATTGGCTACCCTATCATATACCTTTCTTCGCTTAGGGTGGTATGTGGTATCGGCCTTCTTTCTAGGGTGCTTCTGGCACCAACTCGTTTTTGCAGCCCACGATGCTGGCCATATGGGCATCACTCATCATTTTCATGTCGACTCAGTCATTGGTATCATCATTGCGGATTATTTAGGCGGCCTGAGCCTGGGCTGGTGGAAACGGAATCACAATGTCCACCACATCGTCACCAACGCTCCAGAGCATGACCCCGACATTGAGCATATGCCTTTCTTTGCCATATCACATCGCTTCTTGACGAGTCTCCGAAGCACGTACTACGACCGTGTCATGCACTTTGACGCCATGGCGAATGTCATGCTGCGATATCAGAATTACCTCTACTATCCCATCCTCTTATTTGGTCGATTCAATCTCTACCGACTAAGCTGGGAATACCTGTTTTGTGGCCAAGCCCCAAAGAAGGGTCCTGCATGGTGGCACCGCTGGTTCGAGATTGGAGGACAGGTATTCTTCTGGTACTGGTTCGGTTACGGTGTGCTATACCGCTCTATTCCAGACTGGAGCAGCCGGATAGCCTACATCCTGGTTTCCCACATGGTCACTGCTCCTCTGCACGTGCAGATCACGCTGTCCCATTTTGCCATGTCGACTGCCGACTTGGGTGTGCATGAATCGTTTCCTCAAAAGATGCTGCGCACCACCATGGATGTCGATTGCCCTACATGGCTCGATTTCTTCCATGGTGGACTGCAGTTCCAGGCTATTCACCACCTCTACCCTCGCATTCCTCGTCACAACCTGCGTCGTACCCAGCGGCTCGTGGTCGACTTCTGTCGCGATACTGGCATACCATATGCCGTTTTCACCTTTTATGATGGCAACAAGGAAGTGATTAGCAGACTTGGCGATGTCGCGAAGCAA